AGAACTGAACTAGAACTGAACTAGAACTGAACTAGAACTGAACTAGAACTGAACTAGAACTGAACTAGAACTGAACTAGAACTGAACTAGAACTGAACTAGAACTGAACTAGAACTGAACTAGAACTGAACTAGAACTGAACTAGAACTGAACTAGAACTGAACTAGAACTGAACTAGAACTGAACTAGAACTGAACTAGAACTGAACTAGAACTGAACTAGAACTGAACTAGAACTGAACTAGAACTGAACTAGACTGAACTAGAACTGAACTAGAACTGAACTAGAACTGAACTAGAACTGAACTAGAACTGAACTAGAACTGAACTAGAACTGAACTAGAACTGAACTAGAACTGAACTAGAACTGAACTAGAACTGAACTGAACTAGAACTGAACTAGAACTGAACTAGAACTGAACTAGAACTGAACTAGAACTGACTAGAACTGAACTAGAACTGAACTAGAACTGAACTAGAACTGAACTAGAACTGAACTAGAACTGAACTAGAACTGAACTAGAACTGAACTAAACTGAACTAGAACTGAACTAGAACTGAACTAGAACTGAACTAGAACTGAACTAGAACTGAACTAGAACTGAACTAGAACTGAACTAGAACTGAACTAGAACTGAACTAGAACTGAACTAGAACTGAACTAGAACTGAACTAGAACTGAACTAGAACTGAACTAGAACTGAACTAGAACTGAACTAGAACTGAACTAGAACTGAACTAGAACTGAACTAGAACTGAACTAGAACTGAACTAGAACTGAACTAGAACTGAACTAGAACTGAACTAGAACTGAACTAGAACTGAACTAGAACTGACTAGAACTGAACTAGAACTGAACTAGAACTGAACTAGAACTGAACTAGAACTGACTAGAACTGAACTAGAACTGAACTAGAACTGAACTAGAACTGAACTAGAACTGAACTAGAACTGAACTAGAACTGAACTAGAACTGAACTAGAACTGAACTAGAACTGAACTAGAACTGAACTAGAACTGAACTAGAACTGAACTAGAACTGAACTAGAACTGAACTAGAACTGAACTAGAACTGAACTAGAACTGAACTAGAACTGAACTAGAACTGAACTAGAACTGAACTAGAACTGAACTAGAACTGAACTAGAACTGAACTAGAACTGAACTAGAACTGAACTAGAACTGAACTAGAACTGAACTAGAACTGAACTAGAACTGAACTAGAACTGAACTAGAACTGAACTAGAACTGAACTAGAACTGAACTAGAACTGAACTAGAACTGAACTAGAACTGAACTAGAACTGAACTAGAACTGAACTAGAACTGAACTAGAACTGAACTAGAACTGAACTAGAACTGAACTAGAACTGAACTGACTGAACTGAACTAGAACTGAACTAGAACTGAACTAGAACTGAACTAGAACTGAACTAGAACTGAACTAGAACTGAACTAGAACTGAACTAGAACTGAACTAGAACTGAACTAGAACTGAACTAGAACTGAACTAGAACTGAACTAGAACTGAACTAGAACTGAACTAGAACTGAACTAGAACTGAACTAGAACTGAACTAGAACTGAACTAGAACTGAACTAGAACTGAACTAGAACTGAACTAGAACTGAACTAGAACTGAACTAGAACTGAACTAGAACTGAACTAGAACTGAACTAGAACTGAACTAGAACTGAACTGAACTGAACTAGAACTGAACTAGAACTGAACTAGAACTGAACTAGAACTAACTGAACTAGAACTGAACTAGAACTGAACTAGAACTGAACTAGAACTGAACTAGAACTGAACTAGAACTGAACTAGAACTGAACTAGAACTGAACTAGAACTGAACTAGAACTGAACTAGAACTGAACTAGAACTGAACTAGAACAGAACTAGAACTGAACTAGAACTGAACTAGAACTGAACTGGAACTGAACTAGAACTGAACTAGAACTGAACTAGAACTGAACTAGAACTGAACTAGAACTGAACTAGAACTGAACTAGAACTGAACTAGAACTGAACTAGAACTGAACTAGAACTGAACTAGAACTGAACTAGAACTGAACTAGAACTGAACTAGAACTGAACTAGAACTGAACTAGAACTGAACTAGAACTGAACTGAACTAGAACTGAACTAGAACTGAACTAGAACTGAACTAGAACTGAACTAGAACTGAACTAGAACTGAACTAGAACTGAACTAGAACTGAACTAGAACTGAACTAGAACTGAACTAGAACTGAACTAGAACTGAACTAGAACTGAACTAGAATTGAACTAGAACTGAACTAGAACTGAACTAGAACTCAGCTAGAACAATAATTTTTAAAATACTTTTCTTCACATGTGTTCCCCAGTGCTTATTATACCCTGCACTTTATCCTAACTCAAGATATAAGAGGTCTTCCCAAATTCTCCATTACCAACTAAAATACCATTTCATGCATTTAATTTTTATTATTTTTTTCAATTATTACTATTGTTATTATAATTTATAGTAGCCGTTATGAATTGAGCCGATGTAGTCACTGAATGTATATTAAATGTTTGTAAATGTGAATTCCTAATTCTTCTTAATATTCATTTACAAGAAAAATACAGTATGACCACATAATTATAGGTAAATAACAAAACGAAACTATTACCAGTTTTACAAATGTATATTTTTGGTATTATAGTTTTTCATTTTGTTTTTAATTTGGGTTTAAATAGCTGAAAAATGTTTCAAAGTATGAAAAACACTCATCAAATGTCATTTTTATGACAGTTTGATGTCATATGACAGGTTTTTTGTGTTCATGTTAATGTTGTTATTGTCTTTTGTGTATTTCTTCTCCTAATAACCAACTTGTATCGTGTCATAAATTATTACAATAACAAAAAGGAAAATATAATAAAAAAGTAAAATTACCTTAAAAATTATTCAAATTTCAAAAAATAATGAAACATAAATTTTAAAAATGATCAAATGTTAAAAAGAAATTTAAATATCCCAACAATATATCATTTACTTTTAACTTAAATTTAAATTACCTTTTTAAGAAATCCACACTTCTCTATTTAAAGGCACATGAATTTTAATAATATTATATTTATGTATTTTTGTTGGACTGAAATTCTTTAAAAAGAAATTAAACATAAATAAAAGAATTATTTTTGTTAAAAATTCACATTTTATATATATTTTATGTTTAGGTTAGTTTTGAAATAGTTTAATATTTTTATTTATAGTTTTGCTTTTATTTTGGCTTTAAAGAGTCATAAAAAATTTAAACATCGTGCTGGTTTTTATTTAGATCGTTTAATTCCATACCTGTACGTGGCTATAAAATATTTTTTATGTTTTACAATTTTTGCATAAAAATTTATATAAAATTTTATGACAATTTTAGGTATTTCGAATACTGGGTTTCTGATCTAGATTTTTTAATCGTAGAATTTATTATGGGTTAGTTTTAATAAATGTTAAAATATAGTGTGATGTAAGGTGTTATAAACAGTTGTAATAAAACGTTGACAGAACTAGAACTGACCTAGAACTTGAACCGAATTAGAACTGAACTGGAACTGAACTGGAACTGAACTGGAACTGAACTAGAACTGAACTAGAACTGAACTATAACTAAACTAGAACTGATCTAGAACTGAACTAGAACTGAACTAGAACTGAACTAGAACTGAACTAGAACTGAACTAGAACTGAACTAGACGGAACTAGAACTGAACTAGAACTGAACTAGAACTGAACTAGAACTGAACTAGAACTGAACTAGAACTAGAACTGAACTAGAACTGAACTAGAACTGAACTAGAACTGAACTAGAACTGAACTAGAACTGAACTAGAACTGAACTAGAACTGAACTAGAACTGAACTAGAACTGAACTAGAACTGAACTAGAACTGAACTAGAACTGAACTAGAACTGAACTAGAACTGAACTAGAACTGAACTAGAACTGAACTAGAACTGAACTAGAACTGAACTAGAACTGAACTAGAACTGAACTAGAACTGAACTAGAACTGAACTAGAACTGAACTAGAACTGACTAGAAATGAACTAGAACTGAACTAGAACTGAACTAGAACTGAACTAGAAACTGAACTAGAACTGAACTAGAACTGAACTAGAACTGAACTAGAACTGACTAGAACTGAACTAGAACTGAACTAGAACTGAACTAGAACTGAACTAGAACTGAACTAGAACTGAACTAGAACTGAACTAGAACTGAACTAGAACTGAACTAGAACTGAACTAGAACTGAACTAGAACTGAACTAGAACTGAACTAGAACTGAACTAGAACTGACTAGAACTGAACGAGACTGAACTAGAACTGAACTAGAACTGAACTAGAAACTGAACTAGAACTGACATAGACCACTAGAACTGAACTAGAACTGACTAGAACTGAACTAGAACCTAGACTGAACTTGAACTGAACTAGAATGAACTAGAAACTGACTGAACTGAACTAGAACTGAACTAGAACTGAACTAGAACTGAACTAGAACTGAACTAGAACTGAACTAGAACTGAACTAAACTGAACTAGAACTGAACTAGAACTGAACTAGAACTGAACTAGAACTGAACTAGAACTGAACTAGAAATGACTGAACTGAACTAGAACTGACTAGAACTGAACTAGAACTGAACTAGAACTGACTAAGGAAAACTGAACTAGAACTGAACTAAAACTGAACTAGAACTGAACTAGATCTGAACTAGTGCCATCAATATTTTGAATACTGACATTGGCCGAAGTGTGACAAGCCTAAAAATTCCAATATTTCCTGATGTAGAATTCTGATTAATCTGCTATAACAAGCAACACAAGAAATTTCTTTATTTGCAAATCTTATTATCTTTTCAGTTTCATTTGGTATTCATATGTATCAGTTGAAGGAATTCAAATTTGTACTTAAAATTTACAATATCCTTGGTATAAATATTAAAGATCTTGATTATTTTCTTGTACTATTTAAGAATCGCCTTAAGTCCACCGACTGCAATGGATAAGAGGATAATGAATGCACAATTTAGTAAGTTAATTTGTTTGCATAAAAAATCCCTTTGTCTCCCTTTCTATTCCCTAATTTTATTGAGCCCTGATCAAAGGACCCTTCCCTTATTTGCTTCAAATTATAAAATTAATTTCTAGATTTAACTATTTATGCTAATTAAACAAAAATAATAAACAACTCAATTAGTTTCAATTTTGCCAATAATTTGAAAACGCAAAAGAAAACACACACACACCAAACAATAAAACAATACCAATCAACACTTAACGCCTGTCAGTCTTAAGTCAATACAACAATCAATATACAGACAACAACGTTTACCTATTGTTTGGGTCTCTCTGTCTGTCTGTCGTTTTGCAGCAAGGATATGTTTTGCCATTTCCTCCACTTTTGCACGTACAAACCGTTCTTTGTTTATTGGCAATTATGGATAAATTAAAAATATATAAATTTCACAAAAACCCAAAAAGGATGTGTCATTTGTGTTGTAAAAAAAAATTAAAATAAATAACAGGGGTTGATTTGCAAAATTGTTTATTGAAAATAAATATGACTGTTTGTTGGTTAATGGTATTATTGACATAATCAATATGATAATTATTTTTTTGTGTTGTTTTGTCAGTCATATATTATTTTCCTTTTTTGGCTTTGGATGAAGGGTATGAGTCCTTCGACACTGTGAAAATTTGCCATATCAACAGGTTGTGTGCAGTTTTCAATCGAGAAATTTTCACCACCAATCCTATTAAATTTCCAAAATATAAGGGGGGAAATATTTGTTGTTGTTATTATTCTTAAATGTTTATTAATGACGGTTTAATAGAACATTTTTCGAATACTAATGATATCGGTTATTGAACAAAAAAAAAAAAAAAAAAATCAAAACAACAAATAAACCCGACTACAAATACTAAACATGAATGTATTTTAAAGTTATTTCATATATACCCTCAACAATACCACAAATAAAATAACAAACGAATAAACATAAAAATACAATTTTCCCACAATTATCAAGAATGTAATGTAACCTGTCATCATTTTATAACCACATTTTTCTAGACAACAAAACAGTGGAGCGCAAAATAGAGTAATTATGGGCAATTTTCCTTAATTTATTTCAAATATTTTATAAAAAGAAATTTTATAGCAATATTTTTCATAAGAAATATATTTATTATCAGAAATATTTTCTATATCACGAGATATTTTTTAAGAACTCAACTAGAACTAGAACAGAACAGAACTAGAACTGCACTAGAACTGAACTAGAACTCAACTAAAACTAGAACTGAACTAGAACAAAACTAAAACTGACCTAGAACTAAACTAGAACTGAACTAGAACTGAACTAGAACTGAACTAGAACTGAACTAGAACTGAACTAGAACTGAACTAGAACTGAACTAGAACTGAACTAGAACTGAACTAGAACTGAACTAGAACTGAACTAGAACTGAACTAGAATTGAACTAGAACTGAACTAGAACTGAACTAGAACTGAACTAGAACTGAACTAGAACTAAACTAGAACTGAACTAGAACTAAACTAGAACTGAACTAGAACTGAACTAGAACTAAAGTAGAACTGAACTAAAACTGAACTAAAACTGAACTAGAACTGAACTAGAACTGAACTAAACTAGAACTAAACTAGAACTGAACTAAAACTGAACTACACAGAGGGAAAAAGGAATATACACTCCTGGTACCAAATTGACACCAAAGAGTTTTTAATGTTTCAATAACAACCGTTGTTAAAGTATATACATACGTACGACAACACTATGTCGCAACGTTGTCAACATTGCAACAATTCGTTGTCGAAAACTAAATTTAATACACATCCATTGTCTTAATGTTAACAAACGTGCTAAGCTCACTATTGGCAACGGATTGTTTGTCAATAGTGAGCTTACCACGTTTGTTAACATTAAGACAACGAATGTGTATAAAATTTAGATTTCGACAAAGAATTGTTGCAATGTTGACAACGTTGCGACATAGTGTTGTCGTACGTTTGTATATACCTTGACAACGGTTGTTATCGAAAAATTATAAACAGTTTGGTGTCAATTTGGTACAAGGCGTGTATATTACTTTTTCTCTCTGTGTAGAACTGAACTAGAACTGGACTAGAACTGAACTAGAACTGAACTAGAACTGAACTAGAACTGAACTAGAACTGAACTAGAACTGATCTAGAACTGAACTAGAACTGAACTAGAACTGAACTAGAACTGAACTAGAACTGAACTAGAACTGAACTAGAACTGAACTAGAACTGAACTAGAACTGAACTAGAATTGAACTAGAACTGAACTAGAACTGAATTAGAACTGAACTAGAACCGAACTAGAACTGAACTGGAAAGTGTAAATTTATGTTAAATCCTCAACCAACTTATATATTAAGAGAAAATCGATTGTAATTTTCCATAAAAATGAACGCAAAAAGAAATCGGTTCCAAATTTTCCTTAAAGAGGAACTTTATTGAAAATTTTCTTTAAAAATGTTTAGAAAATTCTCTCTGAACATTAAATTGATCGAGAAATATATCTGTTGAAAAATATCTAAAAAAAAATAGAATTTATTTAAAACTTTCTGAAAAACACGACCACTTTTCTCACCCACTGTTAGCGAGTATTACCATTATAACAAAGTATCTATATTGCTGTTATTCGTACCACATACATATTTAATACTTAAAATAAAAGAAAAAAAATATATATATTGTCATTCATAACAGGTCGTTTATTTTATATTATTTATTTTTCCCTTCAATAAAATTACAAAAGAAAATGTACAAATGATGAAAAAACTTCAGGAAAATACATGAAAAATCGTTAAAAAATATAGTGTATAGTAAGAGTATATTTTGTCAACATTAAAATTCCACCACAAATTTCCACATACAGACAGACAGACAGACTGATAGACTGCTGGCTTGCTGGCTGATCAAAAGCTATAGACAACTATATATATATAAAAAAAAATAATGTTCACCAAATTGACATCTGAGATGGAAAATGACATAAAAATACTACATACATGAAAATTCATTTATTTTTGTTGGTTTTCTACGGCTGCTGCTGCCATAATATGGAACGTAGTACAAACTACACGAGAAAACATTGACACATATCAATGATCTCGAATGAATTCATGATACAATTTGACTTGTGTAACTTGAAAGAAAAATGCAAAAAATATAAAAAATATTAAAAAATCACATAAGAAATAAATTTGATTTCTTATGTATAGATTTTTCTGTTTGTTTTGTTAATTTATTATTTATTTTAGCTTAATTTGAAAATAATTATGATTTGAATTCAAATACCATTTGCTACTTACATTTATTACAATTATTTGTATTTCTACATTGAATTTGACTTTAATTTAATGACTTTTTAAATTATTTATGAAATTTGTATAACAAATTGTTGTTTTGAATGGTCTATTTAAGTCATTTGTAATTTTGTGGAATTTATGTGTAATTGAGAGAGGCCAGTCTATATATGATTTTGCAAAGATTTGTTATATGCTTAATGGATTTTGGTGTTTAGTGTTTGAAGTTGATTTTTAATGTTTAGAAAATGATTGATTTGTAATGGTTTAGGTGTTAGTGGAGTGATAAAGTGATATTTTGTAAACATATTTATTTCAGAAGAGGAGAATGATCGAAAATTTTCTTTAAAGAGAACATTAATCGATGTTCTTCTATAAAGAGAAAATCGATCAAGAATTTGAATAAAGATAATAAAGATCGTTAACTTTCTTAAAGAGAACCTTTATAGATGTTCTTCTTTAAAATGATAACACTTTATCTTCTTCTATAAAAAGAAAATCAATAAAAACAAGTAAGAGTGTTATAGGGGGGTAGGGTCAATTATGGGTCGCTCCTCATAAATTTGGTAGACAGAATTTGGTTCGTATTAAATTTATTTGTGTCGAATTTCATCGCTACACTCGTATTTTTAAACCATTAATGAGCGTTGCAGTCATTTTTTGAAGGAGACCTTATATGGGGGGTAGGGTCAATCATGGACCGATCTTCATAAAATTTTTTAAATAGATTTTGACTCGTATGAAACTTACTTATGTCGAATTTCATCTATATACTAGTATTTTTAAGCCAGTAATGAGCGTTAAAGTCATTTTCTGAAGGGGACCTTATATGGGGGGTAGGGTCAATTATGAACCGATCCTCATAAAATTTTGCATAGTGATTTCGGATCATAAGAAACTTACTTATGTCGAATTTCATTGCCATATTCATATTTTTAAACAAGTTATGGCTATTAAAGCTGCTTTTCGAGGGGCCACTTGTATGGAGGCTATCCGAAAACGTGGACCGATATTGCCCATTTTCAATACCAGACAAACCTTACCTATAACAAATATTTATGTGAAATTTCAAACATTTAGCTCTTTCCATTCGGACTCTATCGTGCTTTCAACAGACAGACAGACAGACAGGCAGACGGACAGACATGGCTAGATCGTCTTAGAATTTAATGAGGACCCAGAATATATATACTTTTGTGGGTCTATGACCAATATTTCGATGTGTTACAAACGGAATGACAAAATCAATATACCCCCATCTTTTTTGATGGTGGGTATAAAAAGTTATAATGATAATAAAGATCAACAATTTTCTTAAAGAGAACATTTATCGACGTTCTTTTATAAAGAGAGAATTGATCTCGATTTTTTAATAAAAAAAAGAAAATAGATCGGCAATTATATAATGAGAATATTCTATTAAATGAAAATTAAAACATATCTTCTTCTATAAAGAAAAAAATCGATCAAAAATTTTTATAAAGATAATAACGAACGACAATTTTCTGAAAGAGAACCTTAATCGACGTTCTTCTATAAAATGAGAATTGATCGAATGTTCAATAACAGAAATATATTTTATTTTTCTAGAAAAAAGGAAATCGATCAACTGTTTTATAATATGAATTACATGAATTACATGTATAAATATTATTGTGTCTTTGATTGTTTTTACT